CAGATTTTGGAGTATTTGCATAAATTTTACAGGTCAAGCATCGTTAAGCCCAAAATCCAAAATCTGATAAATTCTCCAAAATCTGGAAATATCTTCAAATTCTCCAAAAGTTTTGAATTTCAGAGCATTTTGGACTTCAGCGTTTTGGATGAGGGCATTCTCACCTTTAGTAGATGCCTTGTGAAATACTCCTTGGGTTTAATCAGAGTGTTTGATACAATAGGTTGCAGAATTCTTTTCAAATTATACCCTTTTTGGTATGTATTTTCTGCTCCAGAAAATCAGAATATTAAGAAACTGTTCTAAGAAACTAGAAACTGTGTAATTATATAGATTGTCCAATACGATTTTTCCCTTTAACTCTTCTCTGTTCAGATGTGTTCATTATAAGACAAGATTGTTTTACTTTTTAAATTCAGTTTTAGCATGTTTCATTTCATATTCAATGCTTTATTTAAGGTCAATTATAACATTTTACGCAGATGAGTAGTTGGAAAATTCCATACTTGGGATATGGAAATAAACTATATATTACTTTTAATGAACAAGAAACGGCCCAGGAGTCCCGTTTCCAGGGTGAATCTTTATTCTGTTCACGGGTTGTCACAGCTGTGGTAAGCTAGAGTCAGCCATAAGTAGCAAATTTTGAGGTTTTTAAACAAAAAGACATTTTGATCCTTTTTTGTATATAACCTTTAGTGAATGACATTGTTTTTTGGAATTGACTTAGAAAAAAATCTCCATTAAGATAAACTAAGATACCCTGTCTGCCACTAAAGCCTTTGAGAACTTCAGAGGAAGTTGGGTTTTTTTTAATGATGATTTAAGTTGGATGAAGTAAGATTAGAAGCAGTAGAATCTATTTATAGTTTTAAAATAATGATGACTTCAGCAGGAGTTACAAGAATTGGTTTGAATTAGGAAGATTTTTCTGTTTTTGAGACAGGGTCTGTAATCCAGGCTGATGCAGGGTCTTGCTGTGTAATCCAGGCTGATCTTGAACTCATGGCAGTCCTCCTGCCTCAGCCTCCCAAGTGCTGGGATTACAGGCTTGTGCTGCATTGCACAGCAGAATTTGTCTTTTTCAGTATATACTCACTTTCTTTTTATAAAGTCATACATATTCATTATGGAAAATTCAGAAGTAACAAAGGAAATAAATGGAAATAAATACAATCTGTTACCCTACCATATAAGAACAACCACTGCTTTATCCTGGGGCGGTCTTGCTAGGTCAGGATGTTGCTCAGTGGCATCAAATTTGCAGTGATCCTGTCCCAGTATTCCAGAGTGTGCCACCATGGCTGGCCGCTGGTAACATTTTGATGTGTGTTATTCTGATCTCATTTTCTATATGTATATGTCCTTTTGTTTTTGTTATTAATATAATTGGACTTTTGCAGCAGTGTCTTGGATTTGAATCCACAACTTTGGCCAAATTATTCAAACATGTGCTGCCTGGTTTCCTTATTTATTAAATTAGAATTATTGTATTAACCTCAAGGATTATTACAAGAATTAAATGAGTTAATGTTTGTGAAATGTTTAAAATTATGCCCATGAATTATAAATGCCATTTAAGTATCATTTTAAAAATTAAACTATCTACTTTTAAACCTTAAAATGTGGTGAACATTTTTCTCAAGTCATAAAGCATTCTCTATAAGTTATAGTGACACTTTAGTCTTCTATTGTTGCCACGTGTGTAACCTTGCATTCTTGGATTTATTCTTTCCATTTTTCTCATTGTTATAAATACAGCTGGGATCAGCATCAGCATCTCCTTGTTCATAAACATGTACTGTGTGTCCTTGTTTCTTTTTTTTCTTGAGACAGGGTCTCAGACTGCTATGAATTCACTATGTAGCACAGACCGGTCTTGAATCTGCAGCAGTCCTCCTGCCTCAGCCTCCTGAGTGCTGGGATTACAGGCCTGCACCACCACTTGTTTCTATTTTTTTTAGTTTTTCTGGAGAGCAGAGCCTTGAACATGCTGGGCGAGTGGAAGCAGACTCCTGCAATTAAATTTTTTTTTTTTTTTTTGGATTTTTGGTTTTTTGAGGTGGGGTCCATGCAGTTCAGACTGACCTTTAACTCATTTTGTAGCCCAAGCTGGCCTCAAACTGATGACAGGCCTTCTGCCTCAGCCTCCTGAGTGCTGGTACAGTTAAAATTATTACATGAAGCATAAATGTTTTATGTTTTTTTAATACAGATTGCCAAAATGCCCTCTAAAAAGGTTGCAGTGATAAACACTTGTCAGGGTAAATGCATTCCACAGTGTACGACTGTTGATTTTTTTTTAACTTTACCAATGTTGAGTATATTGTTTTTTTTTTTTTTAATTGCCACACAGTTTAATGAGCACATTGTATGTGTTTGCATTGGTGCTGGGTGTTGAACCTAGGACTTTTTGCTTACTAAGCACAACTTCTACCACTGAGAGATATTCTCTGCCCCTAACTTGTTGTTTTTTGGTTTGTTTTGTGTGGGTTTTTTGGGGGGGGGGTAATGGGGATCGAACTCACAACCTTGTGCATGCCAGACAGGTGCTTGTGCCGCTGAGCTAAATCCCCAGCCCCCTCCCATCTTGTTTTAATTTTCATTTCTCCAACTTGTTTTGTGCGTACTATTTTAGTTTTTTTTTTTTTACCATTTATCTTGATATCATTTGTCCAATTTTTAATTGAACGTTTGACATTTTCATTCTCATTCACAATGGCAGGAAGATCTTTTTTCTGTTCTTTTAGCCTTTAATCTTTTATTTATTTTAGTTATTTTTTTGAGATAAGATCTCACTGTGTAGCTCAAGCTGGCCTTACGTTCACTGTGTGGTCTAGGCTGACCTGGGATTTGTGGAGATCTTCCTTCCTCTGCCTCCCAAGTGGTAGAATTACAGGTGTGTGCTACCATGCCCAGCCTGTTTGCATGTTTTAGAGCATAAGAATTTCAAACTTCATGTAGTAAAATCTATCGGCTTTTTAAAAATGTATAGGGTTTTTTTACTTTTAATATTAATCTTAAAAATAGACCTTCCTGTTCTTTATCAGTATGTTTTATGGTTATAAATATTCATCCATGTTGTATCTGAGCATTTCAGAACTACAGTATCTGTAATCAGCCTGAGTAGGGCTACACACCTGTGATCCCAGACTCTGGGATGCTGAGGCAGGAAGATCACAGGTTTAAACCCTGACTTGGCAATTTAGTGACTTAGTAAGACCCTCTTAAATAAAAAAGCCTTGAGATGGAGCTCACTGTGAAGGCCTGAATCAATCCCCAGTACATCAAGGGAGAAAAATCTGAAATCTGTTTGACACATGACTTGGGAAATCTAACTTAATTTTGTTATGACAGAATTATCCTAGCATTATTTGTGGAGAAATTTTTTGTTTACTCAGTAATTTGAAATATGTTTATTACCTTATGCACACTTTAGTCTACTGAGGGGATTTTATTCTGCTTTATTGTACTTTGTACTGATTTTTGTACTATTCTACTGTTTGTACTATTCATTTAATATCTGGTAGTGTCAGCCTTCATGACTGCTACCAGTTTTCAAAATTCCTTTAACCTGAGTCCAATTAGTATTATATCATTAAATTCTGAGGAAGAATCCCACTGGGATTTTGATTCAGGTTGCATTTAGTTAAGTAACAGTATGCTAACAAAATTTGAGATAGCCATCTTTTAAGGAACTGTATTCAGTTTCTTAATTTGTTTAATTTATCCCAATTCTGTAGTTGAATAGATTGGGTAGACAAGGATTACAGTAATTGTGATTTAATATCTTTATTTCACTTTATTTTGATGCAACTTTAATATAAGTACAGACTTTTCCCAAAAGTGTTGCATATTTTTATTATAAAGTCTTCTTTTTTATATTTGAAACTTCTTTTTCCAATCTCCTTATTTGAATCTCACTGACTTTATCAAGTTTTAATAATTTTTATTTTGCCCTTTAAAGACAGTAGTGGACATACAAGATTTAAGTGGCCCTAATGCCAAACACAGCAGTTTTCTGGACAACACTCTTAGCACATTAATATCTTTAATTAGTTGGAATAAAAATAGCCCAGCAGAAAATCTGTTTTGCAAATAAAAGTATTTGGTGTAGAAAACTATAAGCTGTGATTTCTTTGCCTTTAATAATGGTAACAGGAGGGTAATTCTAGCCTAGCAGATTACAAACCATCTGGTTTATTGTATTTCTCTCTGCACTGTCGTACTGAGTATAGTTACTAATTACACATTCCCTGACTTACTCATAACCTTGCTAGGATAAACATCTTCAAATTTTATGTATTGTGATAAAAATGATTTTTTTTTTTCTGGCACTGGGAATTGAACTGAAGACCTTATGCTTGCCAGGCAGATGCTTCACCACTGATCTGTATCCCCTGCAAAAATGACCTTTAAAAAATGTTCAACATGGGCCAGCGCATTGTGGTTCACATCTGTGATCCTGGTACTCAGGAAGCTGAGGCAGGAGAATCACCATGAGTTTGAGGCCAGCCTGAAATATATGTAACAAGACCTTGTCTCAAAAAACAAAAATGTTTAACCTGGCCTTTTAAATGATTTAAATGTTGTAAATACGAGCCCATTAATTTTACAGATTTGTGGCTTTCACGCTGACATTCTGTGCGTGCCTGTCCTGCGATTTCATCGTCCCCTCCCAGCTGTCCTTCCGTAATCTCCCCTTCCCTGTCCCTTTCCTGGAGCCTCCCTGAATGATGTCCTGCTTATACTTTCAGGTATATATACATTGTATTATTTGTTGTTAAAGTTTTTATATGTTACAAAACATATACGACTTTTTTTTTCTTTGTGGTATTGTGGCTCAAACTCACAACCTTGAGCTTGCTAGGCAGACACTTATGTCGCTGAGCTAAATCCCTGGCTCATTACTTGTCTTTTTGTGTCTGGTTTGTTTTGCATAACACGATGACCTCCAGTTCTGTCCATTTTCCTGAAAGCAGTCTGTTCACTCTTCACAGCTGCATAAAATTCCACCTGAGCAGATCCCGTAACCTGTTGTGAGTGATGCCGCCGTAAGCTAGGTCTGCAGCCATCTCTTTAGAGCGGCTTCCCGTCCTTCAGGTGTGTACCCAGGACGTACCGCAGGTCATACTGCAGTTCACATTTGTTTTTCTGAGGAGCCTCCATATTACTTTCCATGGTATTCCACAGACAGTGCTGGGGAACTGGTTGTCCGTATGCAGAAGGTTGAAACTAGACTCCTATCCCTTACTTGCCCTGCACAAAAATCAACCCAAAATGGATCAAAGACCTTAATGTAAGAACTAAAACTTTGAACCTACTAGAGGAAAACACAGGGAAACACTTCAAGATGTAGACATGGGCAGTAGTTTCCTGACAGGACTCCAATAGCTCAGGAACTGACAAATGGGATTATATCAAGGTAAGAGCTTTCCACACAGCAAAGCAAACTGTCACAGAGACAGTGTACCGAATGAGAGAGATCGTGGCTCGCTCTTCATCTGGCAGAGGATTAATACCTAGAATACACAGAGGTCTCAGGAAAGTTACTAAGGAAAGATCAAGTAGCCAGCCTGTAAGTGGGCTGGTGTGAACAGACACCCCAGGAGGACACAGATGCCAGCAAGCACATGGTCAGCGGAAAGCTAGGCTCCGGTCAGCTGGGCTGTTAAGGAAAAGTCCACAGCTGCTGCTGAGATGTGAGCGCCTCCGCAGGAGAGCAACGCTTGCACACTGCTGGTGGGGGTGTGACAGTTATCGTTTACTTGGGTGTTTTCTATTGCTCCGTGAGCTCTTCAGTTCTGCACTTACATAACAGAATCTGGCGAGTGTGTGCCTTGGACTGTGCTTTCTTCCGCACGTTTGAAAAGGAGTGTCCACAGCAGTTGTCAGTCATTTTCTGTAGTCACTATGCTGACTGACTGAGAGCTGCGCCTCCCTCTGAGCAGGGCGGGAGCAGCATCAGGGGCTCGGCACCGGCGCCGTCAGTCCCTCGATGGCTCTGCTCACCGTTTCCTCCAGAGGGTGTGAGGGAGACACCGGCAGCTTGTACAGGCCTCTTCCTTCTTCCTGTGATGTTCATCATTCAGTGGCTGTTTGTCTTTTGGCTCAAGTATAGCTAGTGTAATCTCTACCCCTGTGGTTGGTGGTTTTAGCCGGTTACCCAACTTTGTTTACCAGTTACTGACCGCAAACCTTCTGAGGCTTACATGGAATCATGTTTGTTTGGTTGGTTGGTTGGTTGGTTGGTTGGTGTGGTCTTCTGAGAAGGTCTGTCTGTGTAGTCCGGGCTGGCCTTGAACTTAGGACATTCCTCAATGGCGGCCACGCCCCACCCCTGCGTCCTAAGTCTTTCTCATTGGCTTTGCTTTTTACTTGTTTTAGTGGAACCATTTCCTGTGCAGCTGGTAACCACAATTTCATCCTTGGAGCAGCCGTTCTGTGGACAGTCACCACCGCCCCTGCTTTTTTCTGTCCCTTAGGAGCTGCCAGTCTTTTGGGATCTGGCATGAACTCTTTCCCCTTCCTCTCCTTCTGGCTTCCTGCTTGATTCTGTCTGTTCTTCGTCCCTGGAACGCTGATTCCTCCCTTATCTGGCCGATGCATCATTACTGAGCTCTTTCCTTTCCATTCCATGGCCAGCTGTCTGGCACTTGCCATCATACATCCTTTGAAATTAAATTGTTAAGTACTTAATTTAGGGCCTTGATTTAATATTTGGATCCAGCAAACTATATACGGTTCTGTAGTGTTCGGACTCCAGCTCGAGTCATAGATGCATGCAGAGACCCCTTTGTTCAGCTGGATTCTCACATGTGTCAGGAGTGCTGCATGAGCCTAAGTAACCTGGGCCCGGTAACATCCAGAACCCACCCCAGCATCCAGCACTGATCCTGTACTTAGCTCTGAAATACACGTGATAGCCACTGTTAGGAACATGTTTCAAACAGTAGTGCATCCTAATTTAATTGGCAGCCTGATTTCTTTCTTGGAAATGCGTAAAATGTCAATGTACCTGAAAATGAATGGCGTCATAGATTTGAGGAACCACAGTAAGTGCCCGAAAAGCTTGATCCTTCGCCCCAGCTCCCGTGTGACTACAGTTCCAGGTGCGCCCCCGCGGCCAGCTAGTGGCTGACATTGGTTGACTTCCTGGATGCTTTAAGTGTATTATCCCACTTGATCCTTATGCCATTGTAGGAAGCAGAGGTATTTAGTGGAAAAACCTGAGGCTCAGAGAAGTTCAGTGAGCGATAGAAATAAAGTTTGCACCCAACCAACAGAGTAGCCGCTGCCAAGCTTCCTGCCGCCTCCCCGTAACCGCTGTTTTCTCTCCCCTCTCGAAGGCACCGCTGGCTTCACAGTATGACCGATGACCCTCCAACAACCAAACCTCCTACTGAGCGGAAATTCATTTGGAAGAACCATAAATTCAATGTGAGTGGCACTCCAGAGCAGTACGTGCCGTACTCCACCACTAGGAAGAAGATTCAGGAGTGGGTGCCCCCCTCCACGCCGTACAAGTGAGGACAGGGGGAAGCAGAGGGACATGTGGAAACCGTCTCCCAGGAACTTGATTAAACTTTGTTTGACCAAGCAGTGTCCTTTGTGTCATTTTCCTTAAATTTGCCACGCGTCCACCTGTGAAATGGAAGCTCATGAAGATGGGCGAGGGAAGTCAACATCAGCTACGGTGACACTGGTGTAGAGTGCCCCTGAGGTGACCTTCCCCACTCCCCTGCTGACTTCCGGGAAGATCTAAGCCCACGCGGGGCCAAACAGCTTTTCCCACGGGGTTGGAGAGGAGATCGGGGACACAAAGGCAACAGCAGCAACAGGTGGCTTTAGCACTGCGCTGCAGAGGTCAGCAGAGACCTCCTGTTTCCTGGGCCCGGCTTCTTTACCACGTTAATCTGTGAGCTGTCCCAGGCCTCTCTCCAAGGTTGCAGGGGTCGGGGCTTTTTCACTGTTGTTGCTGACAAACAAAAGCATTGACTGACAAGGAGCTGGGTAGCAGAAGGCCTCAGGGAAATGGAGAATGTTGGCCCGGTTGTTGTGTGGGACGAAAGACAGTGCCAAGTGTCTCTGTTCTTCGGGGAGATTCCCATTCTCCTTTGGAGAGCCAGTTCCAACTGTCTGCTGGGCACCGGGGAGACTAGGGGACACCAGGCGCTCTGAGCCACCTGCGCGCAGACTCGCGGCTGTTTCCGGTAGCACCCTGCCACCTGGGAGCGGCCAGCGGGGTGCGGTTAGTGCACTGGGACAGGTTTGCCACGCTCCTGCGCATGCCCCGTTCACCACGTGCAGTGTGGGAAAGGCGAGGTGTGCAGGCCTACAGAACTCAGTGGGGGACAGTGGGGCACTGGGGCTCAGCAGGGAGGGTTGTAAGCAGTGCCTTTGATCATGCACTTTGACGTCGAAGAAACGGTCTAACACAGACCGCCAGGTCAGACACCTGGGGAGAACCACGTTGCAGACTGGTGTTGAAGAGTGGGGAAGGGCTTAGAAAATGATGCCTGACATCCTAACAGCAGTGAGGAGCTCACTGAGATCATCTGACCGCAAACCTCCCAGGCCGCGGCTCTGCTCGGCCAGCACCACGTTCGTGGGCCAAGAATGCTGTGTCCAGAAAAAAGCCGCGGCCTCCTGTCTGATGGTGCCTCTTCTCAGGCTCAGCGGGCTTGCTCACTTCTGCCTCACATGTGTGGGCCATGCTAACCTCTTCCGAGGGTCCAGTTTGTTGTTACTTTGAGACAAGATCTTACTTTATAGTCCAGGCTGGCCTCGAACTCGTGGCGATCCTCCTGCCTCTGCGGGATCACAGGCGTGTGCCAGGGCACCTGGCTCCAGATTCATCCTTGCGTCGGGCCCTTTTCCCGTGCTGTCCCTCTGGCTGGGCAGTAACAGCCTCGCTGTCTCTTGTTTCGTGTTGCTGATGTCACACTTCACAGACATCAGCTCCTCGGCAGGATACGCGGTGTCCACATCGTATAAGGTGGCTTCCCCTGCAACTTCCTTTTTAACTTTATTTATATAAACTTTATCGTTTTTATTGTCTTCATAATACTTACTGTTCCTTTTTGAAGACAGACATGGAGAAAATTGTCCCCATAAATGATCTGCGTATCCTGCACTTACTGAGTGCCCCACGGTTCACCCATGCAAGCACTGTCCAGGTAGACATAACGAAGGAAGGTGGCAGTTATCGGGTTAATTCTGCTGGAGGTGAGGTGATGACTGAAGACAGGCAGATTCGGGGATTTTAGAAAGTGAAGGCCTCGTGGAGAATCACAGCAAGGCATGCTGATGGCTATAAATAGGAAACTGAAGAAAGGTTCATTGAGCGATTTTTACAGGAGGAGAAAAGTACGCTAATTATTGGGGTAGCATGCTGTGTTTCCAGAATGATCGGTGGTTATTCCGAGATTGTGTCACTTGTGTGATGAGCTTGCAAAGTGCCCTTGGCCTTCATCCCAACTGCGCGTGATGCTCCTGCGTGTGGAGAAATCCTGTTTATAAAGCTCTCTTCACACCCGGCCTGAGGAGGCACTGGCACAGGTGTGGGAGACGCCATTCAGTGCCCGGTATGCAGCAGTGAGCCACATTCACGGGCTCTGTCTTTGGCCCTAGGATGTATGGACAGGGTGCAATGACAGAACCAGATATGCCGCAGGGGAGTTTTAGCAGGACGTGGAACAGAGAAGGGGGACTAGGCGAGGGTCACTGTGTGTGCATCGATTTAGGATACGGTGTGAAGGGTCTCCCAGAGCTGTGCAGCCAGATTGCTCTGGGTGGTTAGCTGACGGGCATCCAGCGAGAGCCATTTCCTGGAACGCACACATCTGGCTTCTTGTTTTTTTGGCCTTTCTGAGACAGGGTCTCACTATGCAGTTCAGGCTGGCCTTGAGCTTACTTTGTAACTCAGGCTAGTCTCGAACTTGCAGCAATCCTCCTGCCTCAGCCTCCTGAGTCTGGGATTATAAATGTGTGCCACCACGCCCAGCTGGACTTCTGTTCTTTACAATTGTCCTTCCTTCTGGTCACGAGCCTTGGCTTCTTGGGGACCATCCTTTCCCGACTTTCAGCTTATATGGGTCATATGGGTCATATGACCTTCCTCTTTTCCCTTTTTGGAACTGGGGATCAAACCCAAGGTTTTTCCAATGAACTTCATCCCCAGCCCTTCTTATGCTGTGAGACAGAAGTCTTGCTAAATGGCCAAGTCTTCCAGACTAGGCTGGAAGTTGTGACCCTCCTGCCTCAGCCTCCCACTGGCATGTACCAGCATGCCCAACCGAACCCACTCTCAAATTCTCCTACTGTCCTATCCCACTGGCCTCAGTGTTCGGTTGGGGAGTGAAGAGGGACCCCAGGCAGCCCAGTAACTCAAGCCTAGGACTTGAACTGGAAACACTGGAAAAGAGCAGTCCTCATCCCGTGAGACTGGGACTGAGAATGGGTACCTGGATGGTGGGAAAGGCACCTGACGAGGAAGGGGACACAAAGGGCCTGGGTGAAGAGGGAATAGATGGGGTTCCTGCTCACGGTGCCTGGAACCCGCCCCCAGTGCGCCCAGCTCCATAAGCCCGTGCCTCGCCCTCACTCGCCTTTCCAAGGTTGTCTCGGGCTTGTCTGCCACTGCACCTCCTTACTGATAGAGAATCCTCACAACTTTGTTCCATCTCCTTGTGAAATTTGAATTTGCTTTCCCATTCACCATCTTCCTTACTGGACAGAGTGCTGTGAATTTCCTGATTCATTATGAAAGGCGTATTAGGAGCCAGTAGTGTTTTCCAGCATTTATTAGTGCATGCTGGTAAATAGCTTTCTCTTCATAACTAAAGGTTCATGTCGAAGTGGAATTGGCCTCCACATGTGCACAAGCCTTTCAAATTCCTGCCCTTCGGGGAATGACACCACCACGGTTCCAGTTTCAGAGAGGTCTGCACATCTGCAGACTCAGTGGTGTATAGCCTGGCCTTGAACCTAAAGCCACAATAAAAGTTAATAAAAATTGGCTATCATGTTTATGTCACTAATGTTACGCATCAATCCTACAGTACTAGGTGATTTATGATACTATTTTTCTTTTCTTTTTTCTTTGTTTATTTGGAGATAGGGTCCTTCTCACTGTAGCCCAGGCTGGCCTCAAACTTGTGATCCTCCTGCCTCAGCCTCCCCAGTACTAGAATTACAGGCATGTGACACCACATCTGACTGTAATTGTCTTAACACAACAGAAAGAGGATGGAAAATTACACACAAGAAAAGCTGTGTGCTAATTTGAAATGTAATTGTTAGGATGGAAAAACTTTTCTACCTTTAAAAAAATATCTCTTTGCAGTTAGAATTAATAAATTTGCAATACAGTACTAAGAATTTCATCTAAGACATTAACTCTGCATTGAGCTAGTTGGAGAAAAAAACCCTCATGGAAGGAGGAGGAGGCCATATAAAAGGTGTCAAAACAAAACATCACAGATAGCAGCCAATAAAGCAGTACCCAGCCAGGGTGAAGGGCAGTACTGGTCAGCGGGATGGGCAGCGCTGGTCATCAGAACGGAGGAGACACAGACAATGAAAGAAGCCACCCGCCCTGTTACTGTTGGATCAAACTACAGAAAACAAACTCAGTACAATTCTTGGCTGCTGGAACCTGTAAATTGAAAGGACTGAGAACTGGGATTGACTGGCAGCTTTTGAGGTAACGGAAATGTGCTGGGGTGGGTGATATGGCTGTACAGCATTCTAAATACATGGAAAAAATACTTGAATTGTGTGCTTTCATTTTCTGAAATTGAACCGAGGGCCTTTGCGCTGAGCTACTTCCCCAGTCATTTTGTTTCTGTTTTTTGAGAAAAGATCTCTAAGTTACCCAGACAGGGATCGAACTGAATTACATACATTACAGTAGTTTAAAATATGAATTTTATGCTATGTGACTTTTCTATCAATTTAAAAAATAGAAGATTCTGAAACTCTGTTCTAGTGGGTTATTGATAGTAAGCCTATTTCCTAAAGGCAAGTGATATTTATCCTACTGTAGACTGTTCTGAAAACAGCTCTGATCCCTGTTCAAGCACTCATATGATAGTCTGTCTCTTTTGCTTACTAGAGATTGAGTTGAGGCCAGGATACAGCTCAGCAGCACAGCACCTGCCTGGCAAGCACAGGGGCCTGAGTTCAATTCCTGGTACAGAAAAAAAAGAAAAAGAAAGAAAGAAAGAAAAGATTGAGTCGCACCTGGGTACAAATCACACTGAAGACTGTGGCTTGAGAGGGGGTGGGGCAGACATGGGGCAAAGGCGGAGGTGAGGCCTGAAGTCACACAACAAACATCACAGAACCGCCCAAATCTGACTGAGATGTGGAGGCCACACTTCGATACCTCTAACTTGGGGAGAGATCTCAGGAAGCTTTGACTTCGAAGTGCCTCAAATAATAAGACATTTCATAACATGTCTAACAGAGTCTGGGGCTGGATTTAGGTGATGGTTTCTAAGTTCAGGAGCTCAGCAACATTATCAAGACCCATGATTTTGTCCATCTTCCCCTGGCATCCTCTGCACGGTGATCCGGTCTCTGATTTTGGTCCCTTTAACGTCCTCACCCCTGCAGTTTGAGCGGCACAGGCACTGAGGTGTGGGTGCCCTTGTCTTCTGTCCTATTTGAGAGTATGCAAGTCTCTGGAAACCTTCAGCAGACTTCTGCTGTCTCCACGGCCTGTCCTGCGTCTCATCACTGCAGCTAAAGCCGTCACTTGGCAAAGCTCAGGGGACATACAAGGCGACTTATTAACCAAGAGCGTCTGAGAAGGACCTACCCTTGGATAGGACGCAAGGGGGAGTGAGATTAAGGTCCTGGTAGCAAACCCCGGATGAATGGCTGTGTGATGCTACCATAGAGACAACAATGTCTGCCTGGAGAAGCAGAATCTCAGCTTGGTGGCACCCACTTGGTGCCACTGATGTCCCTTGGAGGGTGAAAGTGGCTTTGTCTCCTGGAAAACACAACTGTCGCACTTGTGTAGAAATGTGGAGCTGCTCTGGTAAAGCCCTCCTTATTCAAACGCTGAGGGCTGGAGTGGGCACTCGTAATTCTCACACTGCGCCTGCCCCGTTCCCTTTCCACAGGCCCCAAACCCCACTGCCCTAACGCAAAACCCTGGACTCCCTCCCTCGGGTGGAGAGGCTGACTTTCTCCTCCCTATTGCCCCTGGCGGTGGCTCCGCACAGATGCAGTGTTGCTTCTGACCAAGCGGTGGCCACCTTGTCCTTGTGTCCAGTCCAGCTTCATCTGCTCCTTGGGTTTCACGCTGAGGCTCCGTTAGGGTTCTGGACTTGGCACTTGTTTCATGTTTTGCACCCATGTCCACTCTGTTTTGGGAGAACATTTGATTTTATTTCCCCGCAGGGATCAAACCCAGGCCCATGCACCTGCTGGGTACACACCCTACCCCAGGGAGAACATTTTAAAGTGAAGAAGCTAACCTGTTTGTTCATCAGTGTGATGGATGATTCCGTAATTATTTCCAGCCACTCGGCTGTGAGACCCCTGTCTCATTCACACCCTGAGTCTCCTTCACACAGTGTGGCATGTGTGGAGGCTCTGGGATGGACTGGGCTCTACCCTGGCCCAGAAGCCGTGGAGCTCGGGCCACAGAGATGTCATGAAATCCTCCTCAGAGTTGTCACACACGAAGCCCTGCCATGTGGGAGGGATTGGTATTAATATTTTCATACCTTAATTTACTTGGTAAAATCATAGCTAAAAATCCAAAATCCTAACAAAAATTTAAAATAATGATGATTTATTGATTTATAATTCCCAAAAGTATGATCAAATTTGGATCTTTTAATTATTATTTATTTTAGACAAATAGAATTCTATAAATAACTAGTTCAGCTCAAATTTACACTAAACGTTGATATTATAAAAATGCTATGCAAGATTGACTTTGTGATGCCCACCTGTAATCCCAGCACCTGGGAGGCTGAGGCAGGAGGATTGCTGTGAGTTTGAGGCTAGATTGAAATACATAGTGAGACTTTGTCTAAAAAAAATGATTTTAAGACATATTTCAAGTTACTTTATGCAGAATCTCTTTGTTTAAATAGAAACTCAATTTGTAAATTATTTATTTAACTGATTAAAAAGTCTTTAATAAATTCAGAGTTTGTATTTGGACACAAAGTTAAAATACAGCTATGATCACAGTACCCTTCCTTAGTTATAGGAAAATGCTGTCTGACAGTTTCAGAGATTTGCAGCTGAGACTGTCCTCCTGTGGAGGTTAATTACAGATGACTCGGGAAGATCAGGTCAGTCCCCTGTTTACCCCCCGGGAAGCGCTGGGTCCTGAAGAGTTTCACCTTTGCCCAGACAGTGGAGCTCACAGGTTACGAAGTTCATTTAATTCAGGAAATGTGGGCATTTGCTGCCTGCTGCCATAGCTCCCCCCTCTTTGCAAGTAGCCCCCTCTCCATTCTCCCTGCCCCACCCTGCGAGCCAGGACCCACTGCCCCTGGGCCCGTGCCGAGCTGAGCATGAGACCCAGGCCTGGCCAAGCACTGTTTTCCTGGCCCTATGAGTTGGTCAGGAATGGGCACACGTGTGTGGATGTACCAGGCTAATCAAATTCTTCCTGAGGACTTTTCTAAGTAAAATTGGTAGGGAAGGCCAGGTATGATGACACACGCCTGTAATCCCAGCACTCAGGAGCCTGAGGCAGGATGACTGTGAGTTCGAGACCAGCCTGGGCTACAAAGTGAGTTCAAGCCATCCTGAACTGCACAGCAAAACCCATTTTGTCAAAAAGACAAAAAAGTGATAAAAAAATAAAATAAATGCTAGTAGAAAAATAACTCTTTCCTCCCAGGGCCACAAAATGATAGCTCCAGGGTTGTAGTGGCCGTGACTTTAGCTTCAGGACAAAAGCTGAGGAAATAAAGGGAATACCCTTAGAAAAAGGAGGAGGAGGCAGCAGGCGTGGTGGCACAGGCCTGTGGTCTCAGCGCTTGGGAGGCTGAGGTAAGAGGGTCACAGTGTGTTCAAGGCCAGGCCGGGATACATAGCAAGATCCTGTCTCAAAACAACAAAACAACAACAAAAACAAGGTTGGGGGAAGAAGACCACAAAGATCTGGAGGCAGGGAGAAAGGGAGGCAAGGACAGAGAGAGGGGGATGGAGGGAGACAGACGGACACTGGTGTCCCACTGCCTGGATCCTCGGGAGACCCTGATGTCTGGGTATCTTTCTCCGAGTCTGTGACAGACTCCTTCCCCGATCGAGCCCCACCTCCCACAGCAAACACCAATTCAAGCTGAATTTCTTTGGTTGGCAGTAAAAGCCCCGAAGAAGGCCAGAGGGCATTAGTATTCTTCCCTGTGTCCTGTGTCAGTGCTTTCCCAACTGATGGGGCGGGTGATGGAAGGGAGTTGTCATTCTCGTGAGATGTAATTATCAGACATCTTATCGGACATTATGTGGCTTATAGAAATAAATGTCATCTGTCATTAAATTAAAGGGATTTATCTGACAGCGTTCTGTGGCCTTTAGTTATTTACAAGTGAAGTCGTTTTGTCTGCCTGCAGCTACAGCTCCAGACCTGACTTTGCTTGGCCATGGTCACCCAGGGTCATTTTTATGCGGCCTCTTTTGGCTTTGGCCAGCTATTGCTCTCGAGTCACTTTACAGCTCCTAACAACGAGGTCAGCTGACGGTCGCCAGTTTGGGTGGCCGTCAGTACCTAGGCTTTGTCACTTCTCACCGTGTTTCGGTGCATGTTTTGCTTCTTCTCTCGGAGCTCAGATCACCGGAGGTTGATTTCTTTTCAGCGGTTGCTAGGAGACACCATCAGCATCCATTCATCCTTTAGAATTGCAGCCAACTCCAGCTCCTTCTGACGCCTCAGCATTGCAAAGCTGAGGCTGTGTCAGAAGATTCTCAATCAGTGTTGCCGGGTCAGTGGGAGCGTGGCTGGGGTGGGCCCAGCTGTGCAGCCCAGACGTCTGCCGTGGTCCTCCTGTCCCTCAGATCTGGAAACGGCTGGTTAAAACTGCCCCTCTCCCCTTACATCTGGATTAAGTCCAGTAATCTATCTGAAGATTCAGGGAAGGAGAGCGCCTGTGTTCTTTCAGATTAACCTTTGGCTCCAGATTTGTTTTTGTTTCTTTCTGTTTTTTTCTTGGGGTGGAGGGTGCTAGGGATGGAACCCAGAGCCGCACACACGCCTCTGCACTGAGCTGCATCCCGGCTCCCAGGTTCCCGTTTGTTACATTCACACACTCACCTGAGCATAGTCTTCACCTCTGTGCATTTCCACCTCCATCAGTCCTCATGGGGGAGCTCGGGGCCCTCTGCTAACATCCACCCTGAACCACTCCCAGCGGCTAATCTGTGTGCCTGGCAGCACGCTGTAAAGTTCCAGAGGATCTGATGTTTCAGGAGAAATACCTCTTTCCTTTCCTCCCTTTCTTCTACTTTTTTCTCTTTCTCTCTCTCTCTCTTCCTTCCTTTCTTCCTTCCTTCCTTCTTTTCTTCCTTCCTTCCTTCCTTCCTTCCTTCCTTCCTTCCTTCCTTTCTTCCTTCCTTCCTTCCTTCCCTTCCTTTCCAGGGTTTCACCATGTACTCCAGGCAGCCCACCAACTCTTGATCCCCCCCTCCCCGGTCTCAGATTTCTGAGTGCCTGGATCACAGAGCGGCAGCACCAAGGCCCAGTTTATGTTTTTGCTTCAATGTCATCTCCACTGTGCTATATTACTGGCTTTTCTCTTTCTATCTTTTTTCTGTTATTTTGTCTTCTAGGAAGGAACAATACAGGAAAATGAGTTCTTGGTGTTTTGTTTTGTTTTGTTGTCTTTTTGAGACAGAGTTTTGCTATGTAAGACTGGTCTTGAACTCACTTTGGAGCTCACCCTGGTCTCAAACTCGCAGCAAGCCTCCTGCCTCAGCCTCTGGAGTGCTGGGATCAAAGGCGTGCACCACCGTGCCCAGTTTAGAATTCTTATTTTTTAATACAGAAAAACTCAGTTGTCACCTATTCTATGCCAGTCTCTGTATCCTAAGGATTTCACTCCATTAATAATGTTTATAAGGCCCAGATTACCAACAGATGAGGATGCATTTCCCCTTACACTAACGTTCTTTGGGCTCCTTGTCCCACAGGCTATAAGTACTTTTCATGTCCCCCGTGAGCAGGTGTTATTATTATCTATTTTGCCAATGAAAAAATAGAAGCTTTCCTATCACTGGGACAAAATAGCCAACACCCACAACTTAAAGGAAGGGAGCTTTATTTCAGCTCACGGTTTTGGGGGATTCATCCCATGGTCACCTATCTCCAAGGCAGAACAGCGTGGTGCAGGAAGGCTGCTCACTGCGTGGCAACCAGGAAGCAGAGAAAGAGGGGGAGCCAGGATGACAATGTGCTGTTCAGTCACAAGCCCCTTCCAACCATGCCCTGCAGCTGGACGTGAGACTTTGGGGGACATTTCAGATAGAAATATAACAGAAGCACAGAAGAATAGATGGCTGCACCCAGGACATTTGGCTCCTTAATCTAGAATTCAAATTTCAGTGCCTTCTAATGACTGCAAGAAAGAGCGTGAGCCCGGGAATGCAAGCAAGCTGACCCAGGCAGGTCTGCCCAGCTCTGGACTGTCCACCTCTGGGCTCTCCAGGGGAAAGAAATGAAGACCCAATCTTAGGCCATATGAGTTTTCATCTTTATGACTAACAGCCGAATAGAATTCCTAACTGGTACACTAGAGTTGAGAACAATACAACTAGTGGCCAATGTTTAAAAACTGAGAGCTTGTGCCAGGCAGGGTGGCCATGCCTGTGGTCCCACTGTTACCCAGGGGACTGAGGTGGGAGGTGACTCAAGCCCAGGAGTTCACTGCCAGCCTGAGCAACAAAAAAAGACCCTGTTTCAAAAGGGGAAGGAGGGGAATTACATGATAATCTCGCTTCCTACTGCTTTCTCTCTCTCTTTTTTTTAAAAAATTGGTACCAGGGATTGAACTCACAACCCCGAGCTTGCAAGGCAGGTGCTTATGCACTGAGCTAAATTCTCTTGAAACAACAACAAAGAAACAGTCAACATTGGGCCGTTGGCAACAATCTACTATACTCAGCAGTTGGTCAGTAACTCATGTATGTTTCTTGAAGTCTTCTGAGTTTGCTTCATTTTCCAGTCTTCCGTGCTGGTGAGTAGACAGAGGAAGCCCCATCCCCGCAAAGAGCCCTGTGAAACAGGGCTCCCATATGCCAAGACTAAACACATCCAACTCATGGCCCCACAAGACTGTAAACTCTCAACATTATTATGTGAGTTTTAACAGTGTTTTTCATGCCTTGATTACACTGTGCTCAGGAACCGACTGGGAGCCAGCAAGGGGATGCTCTGTTGCTGTCCAGGACAACCAGGCACAGTGCATTGCTAACTCTGCCTTCGGTCCCCATCACACACATCTGACGGGGAACACACAAGTGTCAGACATCACCTGTACTTGTGCAACTCAGCCAGTTCAACACAGCGACCACTAGGAGCAGTATTTCACGGTGTGTTCTCTGGAAGACAGATGTTCGTCACTATTTAGCAGACATGTAAGTTTTCTTATTTGTTTTTTAAACTGGAGCTCCTTAAGTATTTTGTAAAATAATTTAATAAGCTTAATATAAAAATGAAGGAAGTTTTATTAGTCACAAATTGTATTAGTTACTTTTTTGTTGCTGGCACTCAGTAGCTAAACAAGTCAAAGAGGGAAAGGCTCTTTTTGGCTCATAGATGCAGAGGGTTCAGTCTGTGGTTGGCAGATTCAGACACAGCTCCGGCGTGGTGGAAGGGCCTGGTGGAGCACAGTGCTCATGCCGAGGTGGTAAGAAGCTGAGAGAGAGAGAGAGAGAGAGAGAGAGAGAGAGAGAGAGAGCAAGGAACCAGAAAGGAGATAAACCGTTCCAGGATGTGCCCCCAGTGACTATCTCTTTCTTCTCAGGACTGGTCTCTGAGGTCCTTGGAGAGCGACCATTGCTTGAGGGAGCAATTTGGTTCCTACGGTGAAATGATGACTCCTGCTTGTGAAGGAGGTACCAAGTGGGGGTACCTGCTCCCACTTGGAGGTGTCCTTATCATGGGTGACTTGGAGGCTCTGCTTTTCCTGGAATCTAAGATGACTGCAGGTCTAGGACAATGACTGGAGATGTCTGGGCATTGCTTCAGGGGTCCTGGAATTATAAAAGCTGGAAACTGGATGTTCCTGCAAATTCTGAAAGTGCTTTTAGATATTTTTATCTTGATGTCTCATCAAGGATGAGCTGGGCTAGGTAAACGTAAGGTTCATAACTGTTGTAACACAGATGCCCCGTATGTGACCCAAAGCTTTAAGGCAAGAAAGGAGACAGATGCAAAAATGAAAGCAGAGGTACCAAGCTTCATCCTGAAGGCAGCTGCAGACCCGGCTTCTCAGTCCCCTTTACAGAGACTGCAGGAATCCAGAGACGGCAAGAAGATTCACAAGAGATCATGGGCAGAGGTGACTGGCACCTGCTAGGGCCTCAGAATCTATGCTGTGCTATGCAAAGAGGCTGCGGGAGCTGAATCTCATTTATATGTTAACTAAATGCAAGGAAGGGACCGAGGGACTGCGCAGGAGTCCCTAGAGTCCCCTTCCCAGCTCTAATTGGCTCTGTGCTTATTCATTAGCTCGTTTATTCATTCAGCATGCATCTATTCCCTGATTTCATACACAAAGGACTTGAGGCTGCTTACAGGAAGAATACCAAAATTTTTACAGTTAAATGTAAACATAATTAAAATGTACAGATGCAGCAGGTATAATTTTTAATAAAACATCTGTGCTGTATTTTTATTACAGAAGCAATAAATGAATATCATAGAACATTCAGAAGATATAAACAAAGATTCAGAAAGAGTGTTCAGAATTCCACCACCTGGAGAAAACCATTGTTAACAACATTAAAATATATCTTTTCACTTTTTCTGTGCAAAAATGTAAAATTTTAATATTTTATGAAAGTGTGATTACAACTTGTATGCCATTTTCTAATTTGCTTTCTCCCCTTAATGAAAATAAGCTAGGTGTGGCGGTGCATGCCTGTCACTTGAGCTACTCTGGAGACCGAGGTAGGAAATTGCAAATTCAAGGCCAGCCTGGGCAACTTAGCAAGACCCCATCTTTGGTACTGTGGGTACCCCATTTTGGTAATGGGGACCCCATTTTTTGATACTGGAGGTCAAACTCAGGGCTTTGTGCTTGCCAGGCAGGAGCTTGTGCCACTGAGCTAAATCCCCAGCCCCCCATCTCAAAATTTAAAAAGAGCTAGGGATATAGCTCAGCACTCCGTGGGTTCCATCCCTAATATTGGGAAAACTATCTATATCTATATATAGAGAGGGAATGAATCATGTGATGTTAATGTATTTTCATCTATAACATCATTTTAAATGAATGAAAGACTGTAGGTATATATCATAATTTATGTAAATAATCACCTCATTACCAGGCAAGATTTTGAAATCTGCTATCTCCTGACCTACTAGTTGGATAACTTTATTTCACATAAGTATATTGTCTCTCTCAGTCTGTAGGTCCCTAGTATAGATTAAGGACCAACCTCAGGAGGAAATAAAAACCCTTAGAACAAGGTCACGCTACTAAATCTATCTCACTGTTGTCCTCTAAGCACAAAAAATAACCATTATTATTCTCTGTCTTCCACATTATATGAGTTAAAATTTCTAGCTGGGCTATGCTAACATTAGTAATTATGTCTCTTGTTTAACTTTGGAAATTCTTCAGGGAATGAGCATCGATCCGTCTTTGCATGACCGACCTGGCTCAGGTGACGTGCAGAATGTTAATACAGTGCTCGGTGTCAGGAGGAAACAAGTCTTGTGGAGAAATACAGTGAGGAGCGGATGGAACATTAACTCACCTTTTGGGGTGTATCCGTGAGTCATTCTGAGAACGTCAGGAAAAGCACACCTGTCAGAATCATCTCTGAGAGTGTTCATGGGAGCGAGCCGTCAGGCTCTCACGTCCTTTGGTGGAGCTACTGCTGGCCCGCTGACCACAGCCACAGCCATCCTGTGAGCACCTTCTCTTCCTGTCCCCTTCTTTGTCAAGCAGAAGTCACGTGCAGGAGAGCAACTTCGGATGCTGAGTGTGTGTCACATACACCTCCCCTCTCCCTGCACATCTGACCCAGGAGGCCTGTTGGCGGCTGTCCAGCCTCTGTTCCTCTTCCTGCATGGCTGTACTGTCCTGCTCACTTTGGAAAACAATCACCCTCCCCTTCCCACCATGCAGAGAACTTGCTGCCCCTCGCTGGACAGCAGCTCCTGGACAGAGACCCCTTCCTCTTGCGTGTGACATTCATGAAGCATTAATGGGGCCCCCGACCCCTACCCCAGCAGCCAGCGGCCAGGATGAAGATGGGTGGGAGACACTGAAGTCTCTACCCTGCCAGCGCAAGCCCTGCCTAGAGTCCCTTTCTACTTAAATTCAAACCTCTATTTCTTTTTAAATATGCAAGCCAATGCGTCTTTCTTAGGTCTAAATCAGTTTGGGGAAGCTTTCCTCATGCTGGCCTCTGGAGGACATCGACCCCGGGAGGGTCCCGTCGTGCAGTGAGTGCAGCGGACGCCAGCTTTGCTCCTCTGATGGCTCTCCTCTAACTCACAAATCCTGCTTCCTGGGGTGTGTGGGCTTCTGCCCATTGCGCTGATCCCTGCGTATCTTTCTTCTCCTCCATCGCGCACAGGCATGCAGCCTCCCTTCCTTCAAAACTGCCATGCCCTTCCCATCCTTCCGAGATTTCCCATTTCCAGACATGACTATTACATGAGACACAATCACCTGCTCCCACTCTTTCTTTTCCTAGAAAGCAAACATTACAGACCTTCCTGACATCTGCAGTTTTTTGCTAATCATTGTGGTGAGGAAGCACAGGGATTTGTGCTGAATTTGAGGTTCCAGCAGGAATGTGTGCAGTGATCGCTTAATAATGTCTGCCATGGGCACAGGATGGAGAATGTTGAGATGGCTCTGGGTGTTGCTGTTCCTACCCTAGACTGAGTTCTGAGCTTAGGTCAGTCAGACACACCATCTCTGCATGCTGACCAAATGCGTACTTTCCTGGTTCACGGCGCACACAGTTGCACTGGGGATGCTTCTGCTTCTTGTCTAAGGAACCCACTGTGTCCACAGATCTGAAAAGTGTGCTAAGCCCAGACCTGTGCCTGCCCCGTGCCCTTCCTGGCTTCCTTCACTTACTCCTCAAGTCGTCACTGATTCATTCAGCAGCCAGCGTGCTCCTCCCACGCCTCCAGCTCTGAAGGTCATTTTAGGATTAGAGTCACTTGGCTCCAAAATAACTTCTATATAAATAGACATGGTTGTCACCAAGAGAACGGGTGGGCTTTCACTCACACCCCAGCATTCATCCATGACTCATGAATTTCATCCTTTTTATAGACACTGCCGAACCCAGCTTTATTCATGAGTCTTTCCTCAAAACCAACAGAATCTGTTAAGACTCTAGAAATTCTGATCCCTAAATGAAGTCAATTTGTACTGGACAGCTCTGCTGCTGTCTTAGTATATTTTCTCTGATTTTATTGGGAGAACTTTATGTCCTATGATTATAAACTATTTGTTATTGGGGTGTCATGGTTTCAATGTGTCTCCCAAATTTTTGTGGGAGAAACATGATCCCTAAATTCATATGCTGATGGTACTTGGAGGCCAATGGTATTTCCCTTTGGGAAGTAATTAGAATTGGATAAAGACATCAGGTGGAGCCATCATGATGGAGCTGGTGGTTTTTTTTTTGTTTGTTTGTTTGTTTTTTTGTAAGATAAGGAAGTCTCTGGGTGGCTGAGGCAGGAAGATGGCAAGTTTGAGGCCAGCCTGGGTAACATAGCAAAACCTGAAGCTAAAAAAATGGGCCAAGGATGTAACTCAGTGCAAAGGCCCTGAGTTCATCCTAGTATTGCAAAGAAAAGGAAGGAGAAGGAAGAAGGAGGAGGAGAAGGAGACAGAGGAGAAGCAGGGGGAGCAGGAGAGAGAGGAGAAGCAGAAGACCTGAGCCAGCACATTCCTCCTCCACCTGCTGTGTGATGCCCCCCTGTCAGGGCACAGCAAGAGGCCCCTCACCAAATGCCAGGCAGCTGCTAGCACTGTGCTCTTTGACTGTCCAGCCTCCAGAACCGAGAGCCAAATAAACTTCTATTCTTTATCAATCAGCCGATCTAGGTAATTTATCATAGCAACAGAAAACAGAGAGAATAGGTACCCAGTGTAGTGGCCAGCCAGTGCTGCCCTTCAGTTACACCCAGCTTGGAGGAAAATGTCTATGATGCTGCCCGCCCCTCTCAAGCTTCTCCCAGGGACTGGTCACCTTGTGAGCTCTGGGTGGGGTTGTGGAGGGGCTCTACTTTGGGAGCCACACCCCTCACAGCCTGGAAGCGAAGGGGCCTGGATTCTCCTCTGAGCCTCCTAGAACCATCCAGGATAAACCCTTCACAATGAGCCCCGCCCAGTCCAGGCCACCGGTTCTGGGGGCTGAGACACGGTCATTTCTTGGGGTCCGCTGTTCAGACCATCACAGACTCGTATCTACAGGGGACCCACTGCTGCAGAAAAGCATTCCCATAAAGGAGCAAACTTAGCAGTGTAACAGGTAACACTGGGCTTCCTGATCCCACCCGGGACCTATGAGAAACCCCGTGGAACTGTAAATAGCCCATGCTTAACCACTGAAGTCTGATGGGAAGTCATGGTTCTCCATGCATCTGTCACCCGAGATCGACTTTCCTCCCTCAGTACAGCCAGTGCCTCTGGATGCCTCTCTCAGCTCTGCTGCTCAGTGGCTGTGTGACCTGGAAATCCCCTTAAGCTCCTTACACATAAACCTAAATGGTCAGTGTGCTTCCGGCGTGAGCGTTAACTGACTTCATGGATATAAAGCATTGTGAGCCCTGCGTGGTACGAAGTTTATGTATAAGCTGTTATTATCATTTGCATAATTTGTTTCTGGGGAAATTACTCAGCTCTCCCTTTGTGTGAGCAAGGGAGCGAGCTCCACCACTTTGATTTGTTTTTCTTTTCTTTTTTTTGAGACAGTCTCTCACTATGTAGCCCAGGCTGGCCTTGAACTCACAGTGATTCTCTTGCCTCAGCCTCCCAAATGCTGGGGTTATAGGCTTGCACCACCATGGCTGGCTCTATTTTGACTTCTGTTTGTAACATCCTCCATCTAAGTCTTTCCGTGTCAGAGATGTGCTAGCCCAGTCTCTCCTGAAAGAGAATTTCGAGCTGGGCCAGGTGGTGCACTCCAGTAATCCCTGCACTGGGGAGGTTGAGGCAGAGGGATTGCTGTGAGTTTGAGGCTAGCATGGGTTACACAGTGAGTTCAAAGCCAGCCTCAAGTAACAGTGAGAGCCTGTCTCAAAACAAACAAACAAACAAAAACCAAAAGACAAAACCAGAAAGAGAACTTTTGGCCAGAGATGCACAGGTCTACAATAGCAATCCATTTATGCCTGATTAACTTCCCCTGTTTAATAAGTGAAAACCTTTCATTTTAAAATTGTAAATGATCCATATCATAAAAGACAAGACTCCCACGATACCTGAATTCAGAAGCACACTGCCCGAGCTTTGTTTTGTCCTGACTTCAAGGCAATGGGGGTGCATTTCAGGTCCCTGTGCTCTGCCTGCTAAGTCCCTCTTCCCCAACCACGGCTCCCAGAGCCCTGCTGGACCCGGGAGCACTCGGGATCAGTCCCCTTGTTCTTTGTGTCCACGTGGATTTATGCCGATCATAGTGTTTGTTTTTTTTACAAGTATGGTCTCAATTTGCATTCATTCAGTAATAAAAGCCTCAACTTTATCCTTCTTTATGGCTGAGTAACACTCCATTGTATAGAAATATCACATCTTTTTTATCCAGTTGATGGGCATTTGGGTTGTTTCTAAGATTTAGCTTTTACAAATTGTGTTGCTATAAACGTAGTTGCACATATCTCTCTGTGGTATGATGTTTTTAATTATTCTGAGAAAATACCCTGATAGGGAATAGCTGGGTCAAATGGGACCTCTAATCCTATGTTTTAAGAAATCTCCACACTGATTTCCAGTGGTTGTACCAGTCTATACTGCCACCAACAGTGGAGAAGAGTTGCTTTTTCCCCATAGCCCTGCCAGCTTTTGTTATTGGTTGATTTTTTGATGATAGCTATTCTTTCTGGGGCAAGACAGAATCTTAGTGTTGTTTTAATTTGCGTTTCTCAGATGAGCAGTGATGTTGAACGCTTTTTCATATATTTACTTGTCATTTGTATTTCTTCATCTTTTCCTTTCACATCCCTGCTGTTGGGATTTCAGAGCGAGGAGGAATAAAATCTGCGTCCATCCCACTCAACTTAGCCGAGGTCCCAGGGATCCCCCCCGCACTTTATGGGGTGCTCGGGCAGCCGACCCCTCCCCGGGCCCAGCCACAGCCATTTATGCAAAATCACACTGGACATCTACCTATTGTTGCTCAGAAATGCAGCACACTCAAATTTCTGTGTCCTCAAAAACATGATCAACCCTAATAGAATTTTTCGGTGCAAAAGGGAACCATCTGATAGAATTTTGCTGCAGCTGAAAAGATAAGAAGTATGAAATAAAAGAGGCCTTTATTTTAAGAACATGGGGAGAGACTCCCTGACCCTCCGGGGTCTGGCATTCTCTCCACCATACACGTGGAGTGGGGCATACATGTAGCTTAGGTTTGGGGTGGTGCCTACGGGGCATTAGTGATGCACAGGTAGCCCATTAGTATTCATTTGGTGCCACAGGTAAATTCCTAGGGGCGGGGAAGATGACCTCAAGATAGAGCCCCTTGGTTCCGCCTCCAAGGCTTTACTGGCTACAGTGTCCTATCTGGGGCAAAATCCTTTCATTCCCGTCTTTTGATTATTAGGAAAAAGGGCGAAGATTTTCTTTCTTTTACTGATTCCTGCTGGAAGGGGGCGCTGTACTGGGATTTAGGAGTGTAGACGGGATGACGGTTGATGCCCATGTAGAAGCTGGTGCCAGGTGTTTTAACCAGGACAACTTTATCACTGGTGAATGCCCGTACGTTAGACTGGAAAAACAAAAAGACAAGATGTTATGAGGAAGCAGGCCACTATCATATTTAAGGACCCAGGTGAGGTAGAAGGAAAGGTGCCTTTGATTTAGATACATCATTTTATCAGGACCATGTTGAGGTAGAATCATTGCCACAGTGAGGTAGAATTCTGAAAAATAAGTGTGGGGTTATGAGAGGTGATCCCCCATCTGAAAGGGTAAAAGGTAAGAGGGTAGGTAAGACTTGTGTCTGGTATGCATGATGTGGGAGTCTTTAGGAAAGACTGTTGAGAGTCCTGCTGTAAAAAGGATAAGAAATTAGGAACAAACTGGATAACAAAACATGTCAGCCTGAGAGTTGTAGCTGGAAGGCCTTGGTGAGGTGAAGATGAGCGGGCAAAAGGATGGTTAGATCTAGGGCTGGGAGGGCACCACCTAGCCTGAGTGATGTGAAACCAGGACGGCAGTCTAGCAACTTTGACCACTGTGGAGGTTGCTAAGAAGACCAGGTACGGACTGCTCTAACTTGGTTGTAATCCTTGGGATGATTTGTTGTAACAGGACTTAAGTATATCAGCAGTTTCCCTGGTTGTGGGAAAGGCTTTTATATATCCTGAAAAAGTATAAACAAAGGTGAAGAGATAAAATTTATCTATCAGTTTTGACCAGGGTTGTGTCTGAGAAACTGGTGAATAAGAAAGAAAGGAGGTATTATATATCCCTGAGGAGAGGTTTACTAGTGATAACAGGTGTAAGCTGTTGAGGCTTCAGCATCTGGGTCAGTCTGCATAAACACAAGGGAATAAAAAGCATTTTTAAGAGGATATGAGAGCATGGTATAAGGGTTTGGCATCACTGGGTAGACTGGGGTAACAGCACTATTGAGTATCTTAAGGTCTTGTAGTACAGGATAAGACTCACCAGGCTTGAGTACCAGGAGAATATAAGTATTATACAGTGAATGGGTAGGTTTAAGAAAACCATTGTCTAAAAGGCACTTAATTACACGTTTAAGTCCCTGTAAATGTTTGGAAGCCATGGGATACTGGGGAACACAAGGAAAAATTGAAATATCGACCAGAGAAGAAGCATTCTGGAATGTGCACGAAAATAGGCCCTGTCTGTAAATGGCATAGGTTGGCCATCGATACCCCCATAGAGACTGAGGACTTAATATAGTGGCCTGAAAGCTCAGGAAAAATCCTATACACGGCCTCTATGTCCACAAGTATAGAGAATGTCTTACCTGAGACTTTTAGTGGGACTTGGGACTCTGAGAAGGACACCTTAATGGGGGCTGTGGGCCCTGAGCCCCATCAGTCTTCAGCAGCAAGTTTAAGCAGATCTGTCGGCGATGAATCTGGCAGTGTTGGCATTTCCTGTGAGGGCTAGAAGTTAGGATGGCTTACCCACCCTCTGGTGGCTAGGACAGTCCAGTAGCCCTGGGGTAAGAGCCCAGAGGAACGTCAGGATGGGGCTCTCTTGCCCAGTGTCCTTCTGCTGCATTGGAGGCATGGTCCATGGCGGGGCCCAGGCAGCTCCACCTTGTGTCAGTTTACCTATTTCAGAACTCCAAGTGTTACTGCTAAAAGATAGTTTTTAACTCTGTTGTTGAAAACACAAAAGCCATATTAAGAAGGTCTCTCTGGGGTTTGAGGGCCAAGTTTAGCCTTTTGTCTTGGGATCTGGTCTACAGTAGAAGGTATCTGTAGACAATTAAGTATGCAGGAGTCAAATAATATAATCAACAGGGTATTTATAACTTTAGTAATGGCTTCCCATAAGGAGGACAAGGTCCAGGGAATTTCAGGAACTGACATGTCATTTATGCCATATGTAAGTATCTCTTTATGTTATTAAAATGTCTAAGGCCATCTGATTTTTGGAGGATGGCCTATTTTATTAATTTTTACCTTTTTATTTAGGAGAGAAATCACCTACAGTGTCATTTAATGCCAGTTGAATACAGTTAATTATGGCTCAGTGGAGGGCAGAGCCAGGGCAGGTGGACAGGCTGGGAAAGGCTTAAGTTTGGCCTCTGTCCCAGTGTTGGTCTTGTTGTTTTGTATCATATAACCCTTTTTTGGAAAAGATCTAGTGGTTCCCAACAAAAGGAATTTATCATTATCTCTTAATTTCAGTTGTTAAACATCTAGAAGATTGAAAATAGTACAGTACAATATAGGCAGTAAGCTTAACATAGAACATTAAATGGCTATCAACCATGAGTGTTTTAACATTTGAACGCCGAAGAAATTTGTGAAACATCTCTCAGCTGGATCTGAAAGAAAACATTTGTCATGGCTGGAACACAAGAAAAAGGCAGCAGAAATTTTATATTTGAAAGTATGAATATACCATCAGATCAACAACAATGAATTGTCCACTGCAACCTGTTGTCTCTGTCTCCCCGCTGGTGTGCAGAGCCGCATTTTGGTTTGTGCTCAGAGCTGCGTTTGTGCTTGGGGGTGGGCGCTGGGAGGGCTCCAGAGACTGTGCAGCGAGCAGGGTGGTAGGTGGAACACGAAGGGTGGGGATGGAGCATGGAGGGTGGGGGCGGAGCGCACGGAGCTGGGGTGCAGTGTGAGGGCCCAGAGCAGTGCGTACCTCCCAACACTATTTGGGCACATCTCCTCCATCCCGGTGGAAATGTGGGTCAGTGCGTGGCAGGGGAGGGACTGAAGAGGGAAGGAAAGGAGCACAGGGAGAGAAGGACACATTCTTAAAACAAGGGCCGAAAGATAGAGGGTTTTGTAAACTTGTCAGTGTGATAAGCTATAAACAGGTATGGTTTTGGGGGAGACAGGAAGTGATCCCCAAGATAAAATCCAGTGTGGGGCCTGGCCTACAGAGTCACAGTCAGGTGAGACCGTGGCCTAACCAGCTCAGATTGTCACCTTTAACCTTTTAGACCAGACAGTAATCAGAAAATTAGTTCCAAAGCTCCTGATATTTGGCCGTCACCAAAGACACGAGTGGATTTCCCGTGGATTACAGTAACGGCTCTGCCTGTGAGAGCTTAAAGGCTCTAAAGGACGTGAGAGTTTCCAGTGTGGGGCCGGCCCATGGAGAAAGGCTCTGCCTTGGGCTAAGGACATGAGAGCGTCACTCGAGTCCAGGGAGCAGGAAGAAAACCCGCGTGGGGCCTGGCCCAGCCCGAGTAATCTTGGGAGGTTGCTAACCTGTGGTAAATGAATTAGACTGGTGGTGTTTGCAAATCACTTGCAGTGACAAGTGTAGCAGCTCCCGAGTGTTGAGAAGTAAGGAATTAATCCAGGATGCAGTCCGGTCCTGAACGGCAGGGGACTCACCAGCAGTCTCTCTTCTGCCGTCCCGGTCAGGGAACCATATGATAGAATTTTGGCATGACTGAAAAGAAGTATGAAATAAAAGAGACCTTTATTTTAAGAATGTGGGGAGAGACCCCTGACCCTCCGGGGTCTGGCATTCTCTCCGCCAGACATGTGGAGTGGGGCATACATGTAGCTTAGGTTTGGGGTGGTGCCTAAGGGGCATTAGTGATGCACAGGTAGCCCACTGGTATTCATTTTGTGCCACAGGTAAATTCCTAGGGGCGGGGAAGATGACCTCAAGATACAGCCCCTTTGTTCCACCTTCAAGGCTTTACTGGCTACAGTGTCCTATCTGGGGCAAAATCCTTTCAAGTCCCATCCTGGAAACGAATCCCTGTGCTTTGTTCCACAGGGAAGAGCGGTCACCATAGAGGGAGTCCTTGGGGTCCCCAGCCCACGGCACTAGCTCTGTGAGGATCGATCGCC